ATATTATACTTTATTTAGATGTGTTTGAATGTTTCGTTTTCATTGAATAATGTCATTTTGACAAAGAAAAATGATAACAAAAATACAAAACTTTTATTGACATTCGTGATCTTTCACTTTAAAAATTTCCAGATGGCAACTTGATTGTCATCATAGTCTTTAGCTTTTTTTGTTTCACTCTGTTATCATCAGCACTATGATTTTCCTAAGCCATGTTTTTACTGAAGGAGTGGCATCCCATTAATCTAATGAGAGACCAATGAGATTAATTGTCATCAAGTTTGATACATTCCCAACTGTCAGAAGGTTTCTTTTATCTGAATATATTATATTCATTCTTGAAAAGCCTCTTTCTGCATCTGCAGAACTGACAGCAATAGTACTAACAATATGTCTGGCCTTTTGTACACTTTGTGAAATCACAGGATTGTTGAAATTTTGTAGGACACTTTCCACATAGTCACGAAAATCGTTAATAGGGATGTCGTGGTGAACAATTTTAATAAATTGATTCAGCTTGTCTTCTGCAGCTTTCCAGGGTACAACAACTTCCTGAATATTCCAAGTAACTGGCTCAAGCAAGTTCAGCAGTTCATGTAACTTATTGTCATTTTGTTTATTATTGTTCTTTGATGTTAAATGATCAAAGTCCATCAACCTTTTTTTCATATTTTCTATTATTACCTCAAGGAACCTTTGACGAGGAAGGCTAACAACTCTGTGGTTTTCAGTGATCTGAATATCCTTAAAGGCATCAGATGCAACTCTATCATTTATTTCCTTTTCAAAAGTCCCCTTATTTTCTTTAAGCATTTCAAATGCTTTTATGGACCTTTTTATTGGTTTTTCAGCTCTTGGCAAAGTTACACTTCTGGCTTGGAGAGCATTAGAAAGTAAGGACATTTCTTGAAGTATGTCTATCATCAGTGCTAAATCTGCCAAGAAATATTTGTTGCAAAGATGGGCAGCAATTCCTGAATGGTTTGTCCTAGTAGTGAAAAAATTGTATAATGCTGGATAAGCACGCCACACAGCAAGTGCAGATCTTAAAATGCAAGCAGCCCATCTTGGTCCAAGAACCCTACCTATCTTCAGAATTTGTTGCTCAAGTTCTTCCAAAATTTTGAAGAGTTCCATTTGGTTTTTATTTGATTGGTGAAAGATTCTGTAGATTTTATCCATGAATATTTTGAAGTGATTCACTTGTTTTATTTCATTAACAGCATCATCCAAAACAAGTTGCAAGCGATTATTTAAACAATGACAATGTTAGGAAAATCATTTTTAAGTCTAGTGCCTACCCCAGAATTTCTGCTAAGCATTACGCTTGCCCCAT